GTCCTCATCGTGCCTGATAGCCCTACAGCTCAAACCTATCTGAAGAAATCTGAAGTACTGTCACACCACACCCCATCCTGTTTAGTAGACAGAGGGAGAAGCCTGGGAGGAGGAGGTGTCAGAAGCTGAAGAGGCAACAGAGTTTAGTGAGCAGGTAGAGTCCGTGGCACAGAGAAGTCCAGAAGCAGAAGAAGAGGCGGAAGCAGGAGAGGAGGGAGGCCAAGGGGCAGAGATGAGCCCAACTGGTGAAGAAGCCAGGGCATTCCCCCCTGCCCTGCTGCAAGAAGCTCCCCTCCCCCGCTGGTCTCCCAGAACCAGGAGAGACATGAAGAGGGAGGAGGAGAGGCAGGAGCATTGGTGGAGTCTCAGATTGCTTGGGAATGACCCAGGAGAGGAGGAGATTTCGGCAGCTGCGTCATAGGGTCAAGACCTACCGAGAAGAGTTGCTGTGTCCATTAGACTTGGCGCTCCTGAGCTGACTCTGTTTCTTCTAATAAAGAGTTAACTTCACTTACTCAGTGTGATTTACTCCTGACACAAGCTATGATGGCTGTGCTTTGCTTCCATGGTCAGAGGCAAGAATGCTTCTGCATACCAGTTGCTAGAAGCCACAGGAGGAGAGAGAGCTCTTGTGCTTGAATCTTGCTTGCTGGTTTTCCTTTGGGGCATCTGGTTGGCCCCTGTAAGAAGAGGATGCTTGACTAGATGGGCCATTGACCTGATGCAGCAGGCTGTCCTTATTTTCTTAAGTTTGGGGCAGGTGTGGAAACCTGAATTTGGTGTGAGCTGTTGTAGCCTAGCAGCTGAGAAGCTGAGCCGCAAACCAGCCAATACCCAGTTCAAACCACCCCTTATCAAGTGGACATCAGGGAAACCATGCTGTCATTGCTTCAGCAATGGAGTGGTAATATTTCCCTATGTTAAAGGCTCACTGTAAGGTTTAAAACAATATATGTTAAGCTGCAAGAATGCAGATGCCCCATGTACAAATAGCAATCCCAATTCTCCAGGTCCTTGGCCTCATTTGGTCAGAGCAGTCAGGCTTGCACATCAGAGAGAGGTATGTTCATGTTTGGAGAAACCTCAAGGTATGCAGACATACGAAGCAAACTTTTTGAGGCAGCGGGGAGCCGAGCAGCACCCCTCTTCCCAAAAGAGTCCAGTGAAGATTGATGGTTGGAGGGGAGAGAATCGTGAGGGTGAGACGGCAACAGCTCTTCAGGATTTCAGACAGGAGTCTTTCCCTTTTGGGACAGAGAGCAGGCATTCTGCATCGGAGCTACAGCCCTTCCCTTGCGTCCATCTAGCTCAGTATTGTGTATGCCAACTCACAGCAGCACACTAAGGTTAAAGTCAGGGTTGTCTTCCAGCCCTACGTGGAGACAATGCTTGGGACCAAACCTAGGACTTTCTGTGTGCAAGACAGGTGCTCTACTACTGAGCTGTGGTCCATGCCCTAAAAATAAAGCAAGATCCTAGTCCTCATGGTTCTCAGTAAATGGATGATTTAACCAAAAGCATGGGAAGCTGCCTTATACGGAGCCAGGCCATAGGGTCAATCTAGCTCAGCCCTGTCCACACAGACCACCTGCAGAATTGAGGGATTATAGGCAGGGTGATGCCACCGAGGGTTGAACTTGGGAACATCTGCATGCAAAGCAGGGGCTGTAGTTGTGTTCCCCTCTGTGGCTCCCCTCTGAAGCCCCTGTGCTTCTGTCTTTGTTTCGTTGCAAAGCAAATTTGGAAAAGGCAGTGGGCAGTGGGTGGGGAGGGCAATTTCTAGCTGCCCAACTGTGCTGTCTGGTTAACCAAAACACAAGCACAGATGCCCATTGAACAAGTTGGTGCAATTTTCCCACATGTGTCTGTGGTTCATCCTATTAAACAGGAGCACCCTATTAGGCCTCCTTCAGCATGTTTTTGTCAAAGGCGTGTTGCAACCTCACCTGCCCCAATAAGGCTGAGATCTTAATTACTTTTTTTTTTTTTTTTTGCAGGCATCAAAAGACATCTTTGGAAGCAACCCCATCCCTTTGATATGCCCAGATGCAAATAAAGGGAAGAAAAAGAACTGGGGAAAACAGCTGACACAAGTCCAGAGATTTTGCTGTAGTAATCCAGAAAAAGACACTGCCCCACCCTAGGCTTGGGGTGGATTAACTAACAGATGTGGGGCTAAATCCAATCCTGGAAGGCCACAGAGGAAAACAAATTCTCCTGGAACATTAAAATGCCTAGGTAAGCACAGCCAGGTTTATATATGGTTTGTCCATTTGAGGCCACCACCCACGTTATTTTGTCCTGCTCCCAGTTGTTTCAACAGGTCTTGTACTAGAATATTTGGATGGCCCTCTTCAGGGATTATTTAGCTGTGGTTCCTTCATTGCACAGCATTGGACTAGATCATCCTTAATGTCCCTTCCAACTCTACAATTGTATGATAAACCGTGCCTCTAAATTTTCCCAATTTAAAGTACTAATTCAGTTCTGCTAACTATTCCAACTAGAGCCTGAGACCCGTCTGATCTTAAAGCTGATCTCCCAAAAGTTTTGCATCTGTTCTGACTCAGTTTTATTTTGCGGTTTCCAAAGCTGAGTTGTCAAGTTCAGGCAAATTGCACAGGAGCTGAGCTACCTAGATAAAAGCGGGGGGGTGGGGGGAGGGCCATAGCTCAGAGCACATGCTTGGCACATCCAGGCAGCATCTCCAAGTAGAACTGGAAGAGACCCCTGCCTGAGACCCTGGAGAGCTGCTGCCAGTCAAAGCAGACAGTACTGAACTAGATGGACTAATGTTCCAGTATAAGGCAGCTTCCTATGTTCCAGACACCGCCAAGACACTGCAGAATTGTATCAAACCAGAGCAGCAACATAGCTCACCTCTAAGGACTCACAAACAGACCTCCCAAGTAAGATGTCGAGTCAAGTTATCATTTGTTATACTGCCCAGGAGCTGAGCTGGCTCAATCAAAGCTTGTTGGAGCAGCAACTCATTTGCAAAGGTCACCAAGGGAACTGTGCTGGATCTCACCGGCTACACGGCTCCTGACTACAATCCTATCTGCCTACACACCTTAGATGTGAGCAATGCGGCTTCTCTGGTGTCTATTCAGCTCCTCATTATCTCTTTTGCTAGCAAAGCTCGGCAGATCAACAAGCACAGATCAGAACATCCCACCAGACTAGAAAGGCAACAACATGAACCATCGAGAATACTTCACGGATTTGGAACTGCAGTCTGAATCAGAGAACAAGATTTGTGAAAAATAAAACACCATCTAGGGTTACTGAGTCCTCACTGAGATTTTGAAAGCCAAGGGTGGAACCTCGGAGTGAAATTGGCACATTGTGCTCCCATTCACTCTCAACAGCGCTTGTTGTGTGCCCCTAAAAAATCTCCATGTTCGGGGGTTTCAAAAACTGGTTTCTGCCAGAAATCTCCACCGTCTCCTTCGTGTTTAGGAACATTAGAAGAGACAGCTGAATCAGGCCAATGGCCCATCTAGCCCCGCATCCTGTTCTCACTGCGACCAACCAGATACCTGTGGGAAACCACAGCGCTCTCCCCTTCTAACAGTGGAGGCAGAGCAGAGCCATCATGCTTAGCAGCCATCAAAAGGCCTCTCCTCCATGAATTTGTCCATTACTCTCTTAAAGCCGTCCAAGTTGGTGACCCATCGGCAGGTCAGCTGTCTGCTTCATGAAGTCATCCTTTCTTTTCTCTGTCCCAACATGCAACTTTGTTGGCTGTCCATGAATTCTAGTGTTAGGAGAGAGGGAGGAGAACTTTTGAGAACAGCCTCTGCCAAACTGGTTCTTGCCTTGCCAGATGTTGGACTGTGACACCCATCAGCCCCAGCATCATGGACTGGCAGGAGTTGTGGTCTGAAACATCTGGAGGGCGCTGGGTTTGCAAAGCCTGTGTCAGAAGGAAGAGGATATTGATTTGTAGCAAACTTTACTTAACTACTTCAGGTAGGAATCTGGGCCTGGAAGGGAGAAGCAGACTTAAATTCCTTAAGAAACTAATGGAGGGCAAAATGGGCTCTTACATAACCATTCTTTCATCTCCCACACCTCTTGGGATAGTGGGAGAACATTTAAAGCCACATGGAAATCCTCAGATAAATCATTCAGCAACCCTCCACCACACCCACCCCTTGGGGCTTCCTAAGAGGGGAGGGGAGGATTCCACGTTATTAGGCACGAGAGTTGTATAGACTCTCTGTAACACATTCGTATGTGTGTTTGTGTGTGTGTTTCCAGTTGCTGTTGGTTTAGCAGAATTTCTGCAGAAATCAGAGCCTCGCCAGGAGATGGGAGGACGAGGTGGTCCAGAGAGGAACAACTATGAAGAACCTCTTTAGAAAAAGCACACCAGATGACAGTTCAGTGGTGTGCGGTCAGTGGACTAAGGGGACTAGGCTAGCCCCCTAAATGTTTCCCTGGCACCTCCTTCCCAAAGCCTGGGCAGCTTCTGCCTGGCTTAAGGAGGGAGGTGCAATGCTCACATGTGTGACATCGGGACATGTGCGGCATCCCCCCTCCCCAATCACCCTCGCAAGTTTGCGCCTCAGGCCCTAACTGTTCCCCTGTGAAAAATTTCACTGCACACCACTGTTACAGTTCCGGGCATGCACCTGGGAACTTGCACAAACAGAGGCTCCAAACAGATAAAAGGCCATCTTGTTAATTTTTTATAGGAGTGAGCTAATAAGAAATCTTAGGGACGACTACAAGGTTTCAGAATGAGAGAGAGAAGCTCCACCACCTCCATTGGCTGGTTTTCAGCATCTGTGAGCATTGCCTCACCCAGAACAGAACTGATGTGACTCTCTGCAGCTCAAACTTCAAGAAGAGACGTGCTGTCAGAATCATGCCCACAGAAGCGCAGAAAGTGGAGGCAACACAATTGCAGCAGCATGAAGGATAGGCCTTGGCTGCTATTGGGGGTGAAATACTTAGGGGTCAAGTTAACGAGCAGCCCAGCTTGTGTAACTCTGCGATTCCATAGTAGTGCAGAAAGTTCGCAGAAAGGGGTGTTGGACACAGAATTCAGCTTCTGAAAACTTTTTAAACCCAAAGATTCTGGTCTGGGTGACACAGCTGTGAAAATCGGCTTGAAAGCATGTGAGCCATTGTTGTTGAAACCTCAGAAGCCAGAGATGGCAGCCCCATAAGATGCCCGTAGTTGGGGTTGTTAGCAAAGTCAGTTGAATAATGCGAATGGGAGTCCAGAGAGAGAGAAGATCCTGGTCAGACTTTACTGAGGAAACAGAACAGAGTTTATAATTTGAGAAAAGAGGAACAGAAAAGCATACAAGCAAGAATGACCTCGGCCCAATCTTTCAGCCTGATGTACATCAGTTCACAGGGGACTAGTCTCTTCCCTCCCTCTTTCTCAGTTCAGTCAAGGGCAGATGTCATTAGAGCAACTGGGTGTTGAAGCCTCACTTCAAGGCTGTCTCCATGGCGCCTTCCGCAAAGAGCTTAATGAGCTGGAGCAAAACCCGGTTTCCCAGCCGTTGGCCGCTTGCACCTCAGAAGGATCACTCCCAGGCACAGCTGCGATGATGATACAAGAAAACTGACACAGAACTTTGCTGCATCGACGGAAAGCATCCCTCTTAGGAGTTTAGCACCAAGCCCTTCCACCACCACCTCCTCGCCCACGACACACCTTTCCTGACCACAAGCACTTGTATATGCAAAAAATTTCATACACTCCTGAAGAGAGATCCAGACAACACCTCTGTGTTGGCTCTTGCTGCTGGAGGTGGAAGGCTTGCCCATCTCACTCCTGTGCCCTGCTTCTCTTACAACAGGCCGCGTATGAAATAAAACGCAAAGTGTACGTAGATTAATCAAGCGGTTCCATGCGAATACGTGTGACTTCAACATTCGTCTTAATAAATCCCCCCCATGTTAATTAGCTGACCAATGACAGGGCTGAGGGAAGGGGTGTCTTGTCTTCTGGGCAGCTCAGGATTTCCATACACACTGCCCAGGCTTGCACCTTGAGGAGGTCACAGTGGTTTGACTTCACCCCCCAGAGGCACACTCCATTGCCTCTTGACATAGACGAATGGCAACAACAACAGCTTAGGTGGGATAAGCAGATACATGCAATGCTTTTATTTACCATATTTTTCCATGTATAAGACTAGGTTTTCCCCCTAAAAAATAATGTCCAGAATTTGTGGGCATCTTATACATGGGGGCCATCTGCCCCCATTTTCTTAAATTGTAGTCCCCAAAAATAGGGGGCATCTTATCCATGGGGGCGTCTTATAGACATAAAAATACGGTACCCTTACATCACAGTTCCATCACAGAGGATGGCTAATGTGTGTGTGTGTATGGTGAGTGAGAGAGCTCTTCTCCCAACATCAGGCCGGGGACAGATTGACTACATGCCCACTAGGAAACAGAATGACTCCAGACAGCATTCAGAGACACCTGAAATGTGATGTTCAGAAACAACAGCAGTCAGAATTCATTCATTTATATACCCCACCTTTCCTCCAAGAAGCTCAAGGTGGCATACATAGGGGGGAAAGAATGTGGTCTGGCATCCAACCTGTCAACGGGGCACTGCTGAATGATAGCATGAAGGTCTGCAACAAACACTGCCTCGAAGTGGGGCAGGATCTGTGGCCATTTGTTGTTTAGTTGTTTAGCTGTGTCCGACGCTTCGTGACCCCATGGACCAGAGCACGCCAGGCACTCCTGTCTTCCACTGCCTCCTGCAATTTGGTCAAACTCATGTTGGTAGCTTCAAGAACACTGTCCAACCATCTCGTCCTCTGTATTCCCCTTCTCCTTGTGCCCTCCATCTTTCCCAACATCAGGGTCTTTTCCAGAGAGTCTTCTCTGCTCATGAGGTGCCCAAAGCACTGGAGCCTCAGCTTCAGGATCTGTCCTTCCAGTGAGCACTCAGGGCTGATTTCCTTCAGAATGGAGAGGTTTGATCTTCTTGCAGTCCATGGGACTCTCAAGAGTCTCCTCCAGCACCATAATTCAAAAGCATCAATTCTTCGGCGATCAGCCTTCTTGATGGTCCAGCTCTCACTTCCATACATCACTACTGGGAAAACCATCGCTTTAACTATACGGACCTTTGTTGGCAAGGTGATGTCTCTGCTTTTAAAAATGCTGGCTAGGTTTGTCATTGCTTTTCTCCCAAGAAGCAGGCGTCTTTTAATTTCGTGGCTGCTGTCACCATCTGTGGCCATTACCTGTCAGCAAAGAGTTGGCTTCCCCCAATGCTTCCAGGAAGAGTGAACAGCTCATCTCGTAAGGCCTGGAGAGAAAAAAAGACTCATTTTGCAACTGGGGGGGGGGGAGGCTGCTTGATTGTTTCTTCTTGAACTCCTCCAAAATTTGGGAGCTGGCAGCTCTAGCTGGGGCTCCATCCTTCAGTATCCTGACAAGGGCCATAGTTCAGTAGTGGAGCACTTGTTTTGCATGCAGAAGGTTCCAGTTTCTCTCCCCATTGGCATCTAATGGTAGGGCTGGGAAGCACCTTTGTTGAAAACCCTGGAGAGCTGCTGTCCGTCAGTATCAGCAGTACTGAATTAGATGGACCAATGGTCTGGCTTGGTGTAAGGTGGCTTCCTGTTTTCAGTCTTCAATCCACTATCTTTGATCCATCTTGGTCAACATTCTACATGTTTATCCAGGAGTCTCTCGAGGAGTTGAAACGTTCTTACTCTGCACATTAGTGCCGGGGGCAAGAATGAAGCAACTGCTCACGTGCCCAAAAACAAGAGTCAGAAAGCAGGGGGAACGACATCGCTTGGCTTGGATGGGAAGGCAGATCAAGGCGCCTTCTCTCATCCAGGTTGGTGCAAAGGCCACGTGAATTGCCAGAACTGCCGCTCCCACCTGGCAACAAAGTGGTTCTAGATGGTAAACACTGAGTGGGGTAAAAGGCGCCGTCCAACTGCACAAACTGAATCTGGGCCCTAAAGACTGGGGAAAAAGACGGCTGCAGTTCTTTCACATTGTGAATTCTGCATAGGACACCAATAATAATTAATAATAATAATAATTAATAATTAATAATTAATAATAATAATAATAATAATAATAATAATAATAATTATTTATTATTTGTAGAAAGGAATTGTGGCTGTTGCTTGCTTCTTTCTTTCTTTCTTAATAAATGACACAGAAAATCAAAGTAAAGTAAACAAATACTAATACAAAATTAAACTAAAGAAAATACATGTACCCTCTGCCCTGCAAACATAAACCCTACATACCCCTGTGACTTCCCTCCAACCCGGCTCAACTTCCTTTAGCTCAAATTTAAATACTAACCTTGCATTCTTTGGATAATACATCTCTTATAGCCATTTCTAATTATTGTTCTCGCTTACACTTTACATACTTAATCCATTCATATCAACATACTCTTTTTAGAGCAATGTTTTTCCATATACTCCTCAAAACATTCCTCCAGGAATCGTGGCTGTTGCTTTTTAGTGGCGCTCTGTCACACACACTACCAGGGACAGCCCGTCCCATTTCGCCATCTGAGGCTCGGAACCTGCATGTTCCCCACCTGCTGAAAGCTCACTCGCCAGGGTCTCAGGAAGGTCACATGAGGCCAGCGGCGTAGCGTGGGTTGTCAGCACCTGGGGCAAGACAAGTAATTTGCGCCCCCTAACCCGGGGCAAGGCAAGTAATTTGCGCCCCCTAACCTGGGGCAAGGCAAGTAATTTGCGCCCCCAGCCCCTAACCTGCCGCCGCTGCCAGCTTCTTCTTGCTGCTGCCTGGTCTGGTCTGGTGTGGTTCTCTCCCGCGCTCAGCGCTGCGCTGGGCGGCCGCTGCACTGTCCCTCCCCCAGATAGTCCCTCGCTCTCTCTCCGCACCGCACGCCTGGCACCCACCCTCCACAGTGGGCGGTGACCCAGCGGCTCGGATCGGATTCGCACAGCCAGCACTGCAGTGAGAGAGAGTGAGTGAGCCAGGTAGGGGCAGAGAGCTGCGAGTGCGAGCGCACCCCCCCCATATGTTGCGCCCGGTGCGGCCGGCCCCCCCTGCACCCCCCACGCTACGCCACTGCATGAGGCCTCTGCACAATTTCATGGGGCTCTCGCAAGATCTCACCAGAACCCAGAAGACAACGCAGCTACTTCTCCAGCAGCAGGGGCGCACCCTTGGATTTCACCACCTGAGGCAGCTGCCTCAGTCTGCCTCATGGTTGGGCCGGCCCTGCTTTCTACCCTGCCTAAAGCCAGATGGGCTATTTGCAGTAATCATCTTTATATCTCAGCCTCATTCACAAGATGTCAACAGGGAGTTCCATCCAGCAAGCCCATGGAGTAAATCCTGGCAAAGAGAAAGCAACTCCTACCCTAGACAACACCCAGTAATGAATGAACCTCACGTGGCTGTGCTGTGCATCTGGATCCAGATTCTCCTTGACTCAAATCACACTGTGTCCTACTCTCCACCTCTGCAGTGGCCCTTTCCAGTAACGTTTCCTAGTTTCTCTCAATATCCACCTCCCTTCACTTGTTCTGGTCCAACATCACCTCCCAAAAGTCTCATTTCCCCAACATCCATTCTCTGTGTGGGTACCAACTGGATCTTCTAAGCCAGGTCTGATTCTCTCCCCCTACAACTCCCACCAGCCCCAGGCAGGCAGTCATTGGAACACTGGATTAAGTGGGAGCCTTGACCTGATACAGCAGGATGGTGCTGAGCCTATTTCAGAATACACTAATAGATAGCATTGGTTCCATTGTTCAAGATTCAGAGGCAACTTGTCCCTGAGTGCCAGTTGCCAGGGAACAGAAGCAGCTGCCTTTGTGCCCTGCTTGTGGGCCTCCTGGAGGCATCTGATTGGCTATTGTTGGTTGGAAAAATACTGGTTTATGGAAAGTGGAACAGTTGGATGTTGTTGTGGAGCAAATATTTTGAACGGTTCATTTTATGTAACTGACAGGCAGAGAATCAGAAGCCTTCTTTCTTTTCTCCCCGCCCCCAATTTCTTTTTATCTTGCTGTATCAAAAAAACCTTAAATTTAAAAAAAGCATTTTAAAATGGATACTGTTAGGAAAGAAGGGACACGGGTGGTGCTGTGGTCTAATCCACAGAGCCTAGGGCTTGCTGATCAGAAGGTTGGCGGTTTGAATCCCCGCGACGGGGTGAGCTCCCGTTGCTCGGTCCCTGCTCCTGCCAACCTAGCAGTTTGAAAGCACATCAAAGTGCAAGTAGATAAATAGGTACCACTCCAGCGGGAAGGTAAACAGCGTTTCTGTGCACTGCTCTGGTTTGCCAGAAGCAGCTTAGTCATGCTGGCCACATGACATGGAAGCTGTATGCCAGCTCCCTTGGCCAGTAAAGCGAGATGAGTGCCCCAACCCCAGTCATCCGCAACTGGACCTAATGGTCAGAGGTCCCTTCAACTTTACTGTTAAGAAAAGGATGCTGAACTAGATGGAGCTTTGATCTGACCCAACAGGCTTTTGTGTTCTTACCAGACTTTTCCTACCCCTTACCGACACTGCTGTCTGAATATTCTGTTAACTCATGAGAGTATCCAGAACAAGGCAGCACACACATACTACATTTGGATTGGGCCCAGTGGCGTAGTGGTCCAGGGTTGTGGGGGATCCACTACCCATTACAATTTCTGTGGAAAGGTCTCTGTCTCCTGCATCCTAGAGGTTATGAATCAGCAGCTCTTATCAGCAGAAGATATGAAAGGGCAGCTCTTTTGTCATTGAGAAGGAATCTCCTCCTAGAGTCCCCACCGGAGCCAGCGTGAAATGAGGTATATCAGCCATTGAGGTTCAGCTCCTAGGATCACGCTGGAGAAGAACATTGAGGAATTGTTCTGTATCCTCCAAAGCTAAGCATTTCGTAACACTGAAAACACAAGAGAGTGGTGCACAAGTTCTGTTACATACAGTGGAACGTCAAGGGAAACACGTTTTAAGCCACTCCGAAGGAAGATATTGGAGCACTCGAAATCATTTGCCCACTTACATGTCCAGAAAATAGTTGATCTAGCTGAGAGGCAACACATAGAACTCTGCAGTGATTGCTGCAATGTACGCCCAATGCTATTATTTATCATGATAAGTTTGTTGCATAATCTTGGAAGGGGTGTACTTCTGCATTTGCCGCACTGCTGGCTGGGCCAAAGGTGGTAGAGCAGGGATGTGGAACCTGTGAGGCCGTCCAGATCCTGTTAGATCCCAGCTCGTCATCTTCACGGGCCATGCTGGCTGCTGAGGGTCTAAATCCAATATCATCTGAAGCAAGACCTGTGTCTAAAATCCTCCTGACGGTGCCAGGCATTCCTCAAATGTGATCTGAGCCAGAAAGAGCTTGATTCCTTTGAGGCATTTGCGTTGGTGCAGATGGCACTGTTTTAAGGCAACAACAACATTTCCGAGGGTTTGGAGAGATGATCCCAAACAGGCATCTGATGGAAAAGGAGAAGTTGCTGGAGGCAAAGAAATAGGGGATGACTCGAGACAGCGTTTCTAAGAGCAAAGGGGACACGACTGGAGAATAAACAACTCTGCTGACATTTGTACATGGATGGCACTGCCAATTATTCTCCAATTGGGAACAACCTACACAGCTGGCAATACACATCTGCTGTAAGCCCTTCACTACGTGTGCAGACACACAGTCCTGCGGTTATCATACCAGTTGAAATATAAATGGGCGAAGCACTTTGTCACTGCAAATATTGACCAAGCAGGCGAAACTGTTTTACAACTTGTTATATTCAGTCCTGCCGTGAATCTCTGTTTTTCCCTTGTTTTAACTGCTTGGCTCGCAGAGCTTGTTTTTCTTTAAATCCCTGGATTAAGACAATGACAGGCAAGTTTACAAACTGGGACTGCTCTTAAAATGGTTAATAGAGGCTATTAAAAGTACTCCCCACCACCACACACAAACGGGGTACATAGTTTGCCACCAAAAGCCTTCACCACTAGGCCTTTTGAAAGAGGCGCCTCAAGGTCTGGGCCAATTTATCTTACAGCCACTACAACATCAAGGGTACCCTTTGCTACAGTTGCAGAAACACAACCCTGGCCTGGGTTTTTGTTCCAAAAGCAGCCATCTCATGGTCAGCAGTGGGGGCGGAAAAACTTCGGAGAGCCCCAAGGCAGCGTTAGCCAATTGAGTGCCTATGAAGCAACCATTCAGAAAAAACATCCAGTAATACACCATGTATTTGGTGGGTCTAGCAAGTGAGTGCCTATTCTACACACACTTCAGAATGGACTTGGGAGAAAAGGACCGTCCTGTTCCCAGAATAGACACTGCACTACGTATGACAAAATGTTCCCAGCAAGGTTTGGCCCAAACCATTTGATGTGCAGTCAAAGCCCCTTCCCAATTTCCAGGGGAAAAACATTTTGTGACCTGGCTTTTCCTGCTTCACTATGAAACACATCCAACACCCACCCTTTCTCCCTTCCTACCCCTTATGCCTTTAACTGACCCCCCCCAAAAGAACTTGTTTGTGCAGGGCCAGACTTCAGCAGGCCCTCAGCACCATGCTGCCAATAGCCCGCCCCCCCAAACACCACACACACACACTGCAGCTGCTGTGTATAAGACAGCTTCTTATGTCATTTAATTCAGCCCTTTATTCAGAACAATGAGAACCAGAATCTTACTTTATTTTTAGGGAAAGGGCCATAGCTCAGTAGCAGAGCACATGCTTTGCACACAAACAGTCCCAGGTGCCGTTCTGAACAATACTGAGCTAGATAGACCAATTGACTCTGTATATAATGCAGCTTCCTGCATTCCTATGCAGAAACAACTCAGGAAGAGGAAACCGACAAAGACAATGTGTAGTTGCTCAACAATGCCACCCCCCTCCGCACATCTAGACAGCAGAGAAGAGACGGGTAGTCTTTGGAACAGACAGGAGAGAAAGAGAGGAAAGGCTACATCTAATTCACACACCTGCCTGCACCTTGTGTTTAGAGAGAGATGTCGACCTCCACCCTGATGGCTAACTAGCAGCAGATCCCAGCAAAACCCACAGGCGCCAACCAGCATGGATCAGTTGCAACAGAAGAGCCTGCCCGCCTCCCAGGGTGATGCATCCATTGCACCAGGCGAGGCAATCCTGCGCACGGGGCAAGATGGAAACGTGACTGGTATGCCACACAGCCATGTGAAAGTTTGTTTAACAAGCCAGGAGAGCGCTCTTAAGATCTCCCTGCCGGCTCTGCCAAAACCACATCAAGGATCCATCCCTGCAGACCTGCCAAGGAGTTTGCAGGCAGCCGAGGAAAGCGAGTGCCAGGCCCCGTGCTCAGGGAAGGGCTCCAACATTCCCACAGTGGCTGGCTGAACAGAGCTTCTCTCCTCCACTGGTAGAAAGGGTCACGGGATATTAGACAGAGATCTGCCTGTGCAAGTAAGAGATAGAAAACATCCTGTCAAAGGCACCATAGTAGGACGGTGGTTGAGGGCAGCTGAGCAAGGCTGACGTTGGCCAGGCTTTCCCCTTGCTCTAGGTCAAACCAATTCAGCAGCAACAAAAAGTTGGGCACCCCAAAATGAAAGCAGACGAGGATTGTTTCCAGGATACCTTTGGGACAAAGTCATGCACGCTCTCTGTCCTGTGAGGAGCAGATGGGGTTGTCCCTGGCTGTGAGGGGGGGATCCACTCAACATGTTGTGAAGGACACAAAGCGGCAGCCTGGGGGTTTTAAGGTCATGATGTCAGGCAATAGGTGGGCAGGACAACCCACTTGCTAGTCAAAGTTGGCCAGCAGGGGTGGGGACAGATTCCAGGCTGTATCCAGTGCTAGTTCTACTCAGAGTAGACCCACTGAAGTTAACAGACATGATGGGTTCATTAATTTCCTACTCTGAGTAGGACTAGCAAAGAAGTGGCCCTGCCCTGGAAGATCAGTTTCTGTAGGCTCAAAGTCTCCACTGCCCCTTATGCTTGAAACTTCTTTCTAGCACCCATTCTTTCAAATCCCTCTCTTCCATTAAGCCTTTGGGCTTCATTCCTTAGTTCTCACCCTCCCATAGCAACCCAGCCCAATGTACCTGTAGAGCAGCTTTTGTCAACCCGGTGCCCTCCAGATGTTTTCGACTATGACTCCCATTAACCCCAGCCAACATGGCCGTAGGATGCTGGGACTGATGGGAGGGCACCAAGCTGGGGAAGGCCGAGTCAGGTCAAGAGGTAGAAGCAAAGGGGCAATGCCTTCCCTCCACCTCCAGCATGTAATGTAGCAGCATGTTGTAGAACAAAGCATGATGGGAGTCATGGTCCAGAACACCTGAATCTCCAAGGTAGGCTGTAGGGCTGTGCTTTTATTGATCCAGAGATCCTCCTGGCTATCCCTTCCTCCAGTGGCTGAATTTAGAATGAAATCTCCTTGCGTCACACAGGGTTCATCTTTTGCTGATTACAGTGCAAAAGAGCACGTGGTTGTATGCCTGGTGCTAACCAGTTCAGGTAAAATGGGCTTCAAAACAGCTGCCCTTGCCAGGATCGGAGTTCACCACATCACAGCATCCTCACAATGAACTGTATCAAAATCCCAGCTCTCCTCCTTCATGCCATGCTTTCCTTCAGGCCAAGATAGAGCCTTGCAGGGCAGCTAATTAATTTCATTTGGAGGTGGGTGGGATGAGGAAACTAGAACTGGAACGGGTGCCTCCAGAAACCTTCCAGGGAGCAGTGAGTCAGGAAAGGGCACCTCCGCCTACCCTTATCTGCCCGCACCCAACATTATCATTGGCAAATCACATAATGAGATTTCTCCGAATGGTTATTTGTGTACTTGTGAAGAACACCTTGGTTCAAAAGCTTGCAGCTCATGGTCCACTTCTAGAAGACTATTCATGTCTCTTAGGGGAGCAGGAAGGGGGAAAGCCAGTGGCGATCATGCACTCCAAACTCTGCTCATATGTGGAACTTGGAAGAGGGAGGAAGAATGCTGGACGGCTGGGAAGTGTGGTGGAACGCTGGGCGGAGTTACAAGTGAGTGACAGGTGAAGTGCATCTGGCTGAGTAGGACAGTTGAGAGGCAGAAAATGAGATGATAATGAGGGAAAGTGTAGGATGGATATTAAGGAGGAGAGACAATTATGTTGTCACAACAGTCAAACTCTTGGAAATTTTTTCCCGCATAAAAGCATTAACTTGTTCCAAGAATTAACAATCTGTGTTCTGGTCTAGGTTATTCCTGCGGGGATATACTCAAACAAGGATATAGAGGGAAAGTCCTTTTGCTCTTGATAAAACTTGGTAGGTGCAGGTTGTAGGTTCTGTAAGGACTTTTAAGGGAAGTCTGATTTCAGTAGTCAAACATCTGACCTGGCGACTTCCAGGGGTCTGGCAAGGGACCGTGAGAACGTCCCAGGGGGCGACGACAGAACACTCCTCTGCACTAAAAATGTTAAACCACAAGAGCTACAGTTTGCGTAAAGCAAAAGTATTTTGTGCACAGACACTTTTCTAAGGGTCAGTACATCAAGATTTCCAGTGAACAGATGGCAGGAAAACCAACCCTTAGGAAGCGGTAAACACAAAGCAGGCAAAACTCATTCCCACCAGGGTTGTATTTAACTTATTTATTGACTGGTAAAATGGTCACACACACAAAGAAGCAGTAGAACTGACTGGGGCCGGCTTGGGTTATTCAAGTCCTTGAACGTTCCTTCACTGGCTCGGAGCACGCAAGGCAGAACATTGAGAAGCACAGGGGTGGACCGGCAGTGGTGGACAGGGGAGAAAACAAGCTGAAAATCCAACATCACTCCAAGATTGGGGTCAAGGCAGGGGGCGAGGTGGGGGGGGGGGACAAGGGGCTTGGAGATAAAGTAACTGCAACATTCTTTGCGGGCTGGTTGGGCAGGATACAGAGGAACAGCAGGGAGGCAAGATGATTGTGGTCTCTTCATGTAGCCGCTCAGGGCTCAGGGGATGGAGTTGAGGAGATCCTTGAGGAAGCCATCGGGATCGCTGATTTCTGACAACAGTCCTGAAAGCAGGAAAGGGCACGTCAGCTGTGCACATTTGGCAAACCAATTCCTAGAAGCATCTTCCTTTGCCACCAATTCAGGCAAGCAAGTGATGAGGCCAGGGGAGGATAGGAACTAATGGAGAAGATTGGTGCCTCCCCCACACACTTTAACAGCTTCAGTCCCCAAAACCAGGAATAGCTGGTAGCCAAACTGCTGACCCACAGGAAAGGTCTGCAGTTCACTGTCCCCTCACTTGCCCACTGCTATACTATCCAAATCACTTTTGGTTCACAAGATGCAGAATCACAGGAAGCTGTTTTATACCAAGTCAGTACTGACCCATCTAACCCAGCAAATTGTATTCTTGACTGGCAGAGGCTCCCCAAACCTTTCCCAACCCTGCTACCCATGTGAACACGTTCACTGGAGTTTTTATCCCTGTGGGAAACATCTCAGTTACATCTGAACCAGTTCCCATCACTCAAAGGCAGCATGTCAGTATACAGCGTTATTATAAAACACACGTAGAGCTTTCCAGAGCAACTCACCAGCCACGTCCAGAAATTCTGAAAAGGTCTCCACAGGCATAAACTCCTCCTGGAAAGTCTTCAGAGCCTTGTCTGCGGCCTCATAGATGGGCATGTCATTGTGGCGGATGTATTCTGCCAGAGAGTAGGACCAGCCCCCCTCTGTGTTACTCGTAGGCACCTTCTGGATGGGAAAGAGGAGGAGAAAGGAGGGTTAGAAGCTTGAGCATGGAGGACAAAGAGGAAGCAGGCAAACACGGCTTTAAAATGGGGAATCGGACCTAAGGCGGGAAAAAACCCTTTTGACAGAAGGGCCTAGCAAGACGTTATAAGCCAATAATGCCTAGATAGATCCTCCAGCTTCAAGAGCATTATTCCTTTGAATGCCAGCTCCTGGAGAAAGTCTGTTGTCTTGTGGGCTCTTCCCGGGAGCATCTGGCTATCTGCACTTGGCAACAGTAGACTGAACTGGGAGTCCCTATGCTGTGGTCTTCTTTTATTCTTATTCAGAGGATGCCAATAATCTCGTCTACTGAGACTTTTAAGAAGATGGGTGGTACATGCTGCCCCTCTCCAGACCTGATAAAAATTGTGGAAACTGGGGAGAGTGAAAGAACCTGGAACACTGATGTAAAATGTCTTAGTTCAGCTTTTAGATCACCCTGAACTAGGATTCCCCCAACATTCCTCAGCCTGGGAGCTGCGCACAACAGATGGTGCCGGCCTCCTAGAAAAAGCAGGCCACTGGTTTGAGGAGCATTGCTAAAAGAAGAAGAAATGTACCAAGTTCGTTCCAAGCTCGCTTACTTTGAACATGTTGTAAATGAGATCAACGAGGGCCCAGAAGAGGAGGCCGGAGCGATAGGCAGAGTAGTCCTTCACTGCTTTATCCGTTAGCCTGTTAGGAAAATAAGATCAAGCCTCGCAGTTAATTGCTACACTTTTCTTTGCTGCCTGAAGCTCAGCTGATGAATAGCCCCGGCTGTGGCGACAGCCAGAAGCCCATCCATAATACATGTGGGAAAATGCGTGGGGCAAGCTCAGCCAGGCGCTGGAGGGAGGAAGGGAGGGAGGGAAGGAACACACAGAGAGACGGGGACGCTCCACTGTTCTCCCCAGCAAAGCGATTTACAACTACGGCCGCAGGCACAACTGCAAAGTGTTGTGCAACGTGGGGCCTGGCACTGTTGCTGAAATTCCTGCAATCTCGTTTCCACCACCCCCCCCCAAAAAAAAGAGGGGGGAAAGCATTTCTCCAGGACTTAAGACCATGTAGTCAAGCATCCCCTGCCCCCTAAATCACCACAGTCATGTTGCAAGGGGATTCCCGGCTCCACTCTCAGAACGTTTGTTAAGGGCAGGTCAATGCTACAAAGCAAGAGGTGCCATCAAACTGCCTCTGCTTCTGTCAGGGCTCCAAGGCCTTGGGCTGCTTGAGAACTGCAGGCTGCTGGTCCCTGAGGAAAGTGCTTCCCCTGGGAGGCTAAAGCTACTTCCCCAGAACGGGCATGAATCAAACGCCAGATTTCCCTTACAGCAGCAGGAAATGTGCAGAGCCAATCGATGCCGGAGTCTGCAGCCCCTCCCCGAAGGTTACAAGACCACTCGGGCGCATATTACAGAGCATCCAAAATGCACGCCCTTCCATCATGACCCCTGAACACCTGCTCTCAGGAAGCTGCAAGGAAACACTTCAAGCGAAGGGGCCGGCAGAGACTCCTCCAAAGACCCACACCTCAATTTACTCTCCTGTAACATAGCTGATCCAGCCATGGCATGGTCCAAAGGGTCAGGCCCTGGGACCAAGGCACACACAGCACATCTTTTCTCCCTCTTACGGACAAGAGATCAGAGGCAGAGGACACGGAAAGCCTGGAGCCATTTCAAATGACCAGAGGGCCACCCCTTGGGCCTTCTTGGTGACAGCACCCGTCCCCTGCAGTGTCCTCCCTTGAGTAATTTGTGAGACAGGGACAGCAGTGACCTTTACATGCCCCTCAAAATCTATCTAGTGCTAAGCCTACTCAGAGCCAACCTGCTGAAATCAATGGACGTGACTAATTTAGAGTCATTTCACTGCATCTACGCTTGAGTAGAACTTAGCTGTAGACCACCCTATTAAGTTTAGCCAAGCTTTCCTAGGCTCTGAAAGTTGTATCCAATCAAGTTCAATGGGTCTACTCTGAGCAGGTCTAGCATTTTAAATTGTTTTGTATGCTACTCAGGTTTATATATAGAATTCGTTTTGTTTTACTGATGCCATATATATATATATATCAGAATGCAACCGGGTGTGGGGAGGTACTGAGCCACAGACTTAATGCAGGCAAAACAGAAACAGCTCTGTGGCCCAGACAAAGAGGAGGAAGGAGAAGAGGTCAAGCTCCTCCCGGGATTTTCAGCAGGCCCAGCTCACTTAGAGTCAATGTCAACTACATCTAATTCTCCTGTGTGCCTGAAGAGGGCGCCGAGACCTGAACCAACATAGGGAAAGAGAGTATCCAACAGCATCCATCAAAACCTTGCGTGTTGTTCTCGACTCTTCCAGGAACTATTGGAAATTCAGCTTTTTTTAAAAAAAAAGATGCTGATTTTTAAGGAGAAGAAAATTTTGTTTGATCATCAAAACCAGCCTTCTAATGCAGAAGGCAAAGGCTGTGTAGCCAAGTCATGTCCAAGGGTCCCAATCCAACGAGCATGCCTTTGTAACCCTATGGGACCACTCTCTGGGGGTGGGAAGGGAAGGAACCGGCTGCTTTCTCTGCAGCACAGAGAGAGGAGAGGGAAAGGGGTGTGTGGATGGGTGTGGACAGCCCCATACCTGCTTGCTCCCCCTGGCGACACCACCCGAGCGTGTGAGATCACCAGCAGCCGCTTGAGAATGTCGATGCGCATCGCCTTCCATCTCTCCGGGGGTAGGATGTGAAGCGCCATGACGATGTAATAATGGGGCCCGTCCACCTCGAAGGCACTCTCCACCCACTTCTCCTTGGGGTGCTCCAGGAAGCTCTGCAGGTTCTTCTCTTCTCGAGAAGTCGCTCGTGTTCTGAAAGTCAAACAGAGACAGAAGTGATGCACTTTGAACAGTAGGGGGAAGAAACCCGTCAACGTAAGAAGAGCTTGCCAGATCAGTCTGTCCAGCATCCTGTTCTCACACTGGCCTACCAGAAGCCTGCAGAACAGTGGCCTCCTACAAGGGCTAGACAACCCAACAATATATTGTTGAGGCTTTCCCTCCAGTGTCAAGAACTTAAAAGGTAAAGGTAAAGGTATCCCTGCCCGTACGGGCCAGTCTTGACAGGTTGTGCGCTCATCTCACTCTAGAGGCCGGGAGCCAGCGCTGTCCGAAGACACTTCCGGGTCACGTGACCAGCGTGACAAGCTGCATCTGGCGAGCCAGCGCAGCACACGGAACGCCGTTTACCTTCCCGCCAGTAAGCGGTCCCTATTTATCTACTTGCACCCGGGGGTGCTTTCGAACTGCTAGGTTGGCAGGCGCTGGGACCGAGCGACGGGAGCGCACCCCGCCGTGGGGATTCGAACCGCCGACCTTTTGATTGGCAAGTCCTAGGCGCTGAGGCTTTTACCCACAGTGCCACCTGTGTCCCCTACAGCGCCACCCACGTCCCCTTGTCAAGAACTTACACCAAGCTAATGAGCCAAAAAGCAGAACAAAATGCCCCCATACTTTCCTTCCCCCATTCAACCAGATATCATTTCATTTCACAGGCAAAGCCAAGATCTACCTTCATATGTATCAACACCTGAACATAGGTCCCCTTAGCATACTCCAGGGGTCAGCAACCTAAGGCCCATGGGTCACAAGCGGCCCACAGGGGTCGTTTAACCAGCCCACAAGCCGCCTGCTCGGCAAGTCCCTGCGCGCTGCGCTAAACCAGCACGGTGCAGGGATGCGCTTCTGATGCACCGAAATCGCATCTGTGCAGACGCCAGAAATTGCACGCACACGATCCGGCCCAGAGAGGGATCTCCGCTGGAGTGAACTGGCCCAGCCGAGGTAAACCTTGCCGACCCCTGGCATAGTCTCTTCCCCAGGACCAATCCACCCCTAAGGCAAAGTGAAGTGACGGCCTTGGGTAGCAAGATCCACAGGGGCAACAGATCCAGCCTCCAACGAATGCATTACTCATTGCTGCTGCAGTGGCAGCAATAGTTGCAGCAGCTCCACAGTGACCTCTCTGCCAATAGAAGGCACTACTGGTCTCCTCCCCCGGTTCCTAAAGCAGATCTTCACTCATTCGCCCCTTCTTTCCTGACAGGGGACACCTGCCTTTTTTTGGTTTGCCTTGGGTGCCAACATGTCTTGGGCTGGCCCTGCTCCTGACCAGCAGCTCTCCCAAGACCTCTCCATTCCCCAGCCCTGAATGACTGGGGTCTCAGGCACACAAA